CACTTGTTTGACTCGCGCCTGGCGCTGAAGTGAAGTGGAGCGCGTGTCTGAAACGTGTCCCATTCTCAGTCGTTCTGCGACTGAATAAATGCACTTCTTGTCAAGAGAAAAAGTGACAGAAGCAGCAGTTGTGAGTGGGGTGGCCAACCCTAGCCCCGCCCCTGCTTTAATTGCGTTAAATATTTTTAACGCGTTAAACTGAAAAAATTCATCGCCTGCGTTAACGCGCTAATTTTGACACCACTAATATAAATATATTTAATATACAAACATAACATTTTTTCTGAAATATATACATGCATGTGTGCATTTATATATAAATAATAAATGTACACAGTACACACATATATTATGTAAACTTTTATTTTGGATGTGATTAATCGCGATTAATCGTTTAGTAATTTATTAACAATCATTATGCATTCTATAATTGTTCAGTGCTCACCCTGTGTTGCAGAATGGCTTCCAGAGCTCTGAACTCAAAGGGCAATGAGTAAGTAGCCAAATTTCCATCTCCCGCCAGCTGTGGCCCAAGTTCTAACACCAGCCATTTCTCCAGACCGAGACCACGGAAATCCAGCACCAGTAAACACTGTGGCGTCACCACAGCCTTGAGGGACTTCACGAAAAAAAAAAAATGTAATAAAACAAATCAATAAATAAACTCACAAAACCTTTAAAGGGGTCATATGATGCTATTTTAAAGATCATTATTTTGTGTATTTGGTATAACAGAATAAGTTGACATGCTTTAATGTTCAAAAAACACATTATTTTTCAAATACTGTACATTATTGTAGGTCCTCTATGCCTCTTAACTTTTATAAAGAATATCTCTTTGGATTTGAGACTTTAGTCTTTGCAACTTTACAGATCTTCTTTATGCACCAAGAGCTTGTAACACTTCAAAGAGAAAGGAAAAATTGAAATCGCATCATATGACCCCTTTAATAGGAAAATGTATTCAACTTCCAAATGCAAATGAGTATTAAGTACAACACAAAGATGAACTATGTTTATGAAACAATCTATAACGTGTCCATACCTCCATGCATATGATGATGGCATTGTTCCTTGATGTAATACTTGTTAAGTGCTGGAATCTCAGATCTCTCGCCTGCAAACCAAGCTCCTGATACAACTCAGTCTTCTTCTTTTCTAAAACAAACAAACAAAAAAAACACCATAAGACCCAGATCCATCAATAAAAATCCAACAAAGTACATTTTCGTCATTAAATACATTGTCTTAATAAACAAAATTAGGATTTTTTTTAAATCTCTCTGTTTTCTTATAGAGTTACCTAAATGTCAAATCGGATCAAAACAGACGACTGATATATAAAATGTATTTTAAAAATACATTTACATACTGTACTTGAAGACTGAACAAACCGAAACAGTTTTGTTTTTCCCAAATTGCCTACATTTCTCCCAAAAGCAAATTCAAAATGTATAATTGGCAAAGTAGAGGAATTACATAGTAAAGAATTTCTCAATAAAATTTAATAATAATTAGTTTTTTTTTAAGAATAATACCTCCTCTTTTTTATAATAAGCATTAAGGGCTTTTAAAGCAACATTTCTGGTAGAAGTGTTGGTACATTTTGCAGTTTTTTGTTAGTGAATATAGTATTTTCCATGCAGAATATAAAAGATCACAACTCCATAATCTTCTTTCTGTGTGTGTAAGACGACCACATCTTTCCGAGATAGCTTAAGTTAAAAATAAGTATCATTTCTTGAGTCAAATTAAAAGGAAATAAAATTTCGCACCTAAACGCTTAACATACAGTAGGATTATGAAAATCAGTAAACTCACCAAATGTGGTCACATTCCCATCAGGCTCAAATTTCATCTGTTGAATGAGAATAGTAAAGGTGAGTCAGTGACTTTATTGTAGACACAAACTGTGTATTTTGTAAACAAAAAGTTGTACAAGATGTAAGTGCTTGTCTTACCACAACAAACACTGGAGCAACAATAGACAGGGCTGCTTGGGATGCGTCTGTGCCTCTTTGGCGACATGAGAGGTCTGGCAATAGAAACAAATGTGTTATGTATGTTGTTTGAGCAGCCGAGCCATAAACTAACACAGTGCAGCACCTACAGTGTCCCTGAGCTCTCGGCAGCACTGTGCTGTGATGTGATCGTCCACATGTTGAAGTAAGAGGGCGTCTGAAAGGTGATCTTGAGCTCTTCACACTTCTCCATGTCCAGCATTTCATCGACACTTTCCTGAGACTCTCTCGACAGACAAACCTCAAACATGGCTCCATACTTGAAAACACTTGAGTTAAAAGTCCATTTTACCTCCAGGACACCTCGGTGAGGTTACCGTGCTCAACCTGCATAAACACTAGTTGTCAAAACGACACACTTACTTTGGTCTTGCAAAAACTGAGTGGAAACCCGTTTATGATCCTATTTAGTGAGTTAAAGCAAAGCACATACCACAGCTCCGAAAGAATGAAACGTCCGGGTTTGATGTCTTTAGCTGTCCCGCTAACTCACACACGCACGTTTCACTGTTAGTTCGTTATGTCTTCGGGATACGAACACATATGATAAATGCAGTAATAACATACTCCATCACATAAGTCAGCGTGTTGCTGACTGTAACAACAGCGGCTGAACGAACGGCATGTTTTCGGAAACTGTTGATGACGTGAAGCACGCATCCAGCACGCGCTCGCTGTCTCTCCAATGGTTGGCTGCGACGTCACTGAGCTGCTTGACGCCGTTAAAGCGGCACGCTTTATCAAACTTGACTTGAAAATACATGCTTTAACAAAAACATTGATACCCTTTTTCAAAATCAACGTTATTCATTCATTCATTCATTCATTCATTCTTCTACTGTTGAAATTCCTCCATACCCGTAACCCTGAAAATGAAATAATTAAAGTAATTAATTAATGTGTATGTATTTAATTATGTATTTAACTATTTGTTTATATATTTAAACATTTATTTAATTATTTAATTTTAATATGGATGCATGAATGCATAAATAAATAAATAAATAAATACATAAATAAATAAATACATATTCATGCATTTATTTATGTATTTAATTATTTAATTATGTATTTAACGATTTATTTATACATTTCAACATTTATTTAATTATTTAATTTTGAGTAATTTGGCCCTCCAAAAACTTCTGTTGTTAAATATGTTGTCATAATTCTTGTACTTTTTTTGTAAAGAAACTCTGACTCGTTTAATTTTGTTTGTAATAATGTAAAATATTTTTGAGCAGAATCATTCATGCTATATTTTGTTAATAGTTATTTATTTAATTGTTTCCTTATTATATTATATTATATTATATTATATTATATTATATTATATTATATTACAACCTTCATTTGTTTTCTACTAGTATTTATGTGTTACTTGAGAAATCTTTAAAAAGCTGCATGTGCATTTTAATTGACATATTTCACTTTCAAATGTAATATATATGACCTTTAATATGATCTTTATAAACGTATTATTTTAAATATAACTTAATAAATATATAGTTACTTGTGTATTCTGCTTGTGTATTAATTGATATTTGGCCATTTTGGGGGAGGGAAAAAAATCTGTAAAAAAAAAAAAAAAAATCTGACATTACCACTGTAGATCATAGCGATGCTGCTTATGAGCATAAAAAGTCACAAGCGCAGATTGTCATTGCGGCCGCACGGTGGCGCTCGCCGCCTACATCCCTCTCAAACCTGCCCACAGATACAGTATTCTGGTCGTACATCTGATCGTACGGTTGCATATTCGAGAAATTAGATGTAAATTGTTATCTCCGCTCTAGTCTTTGTGCTCTGAAGGTTTTAGGACTCCCTTCATCCACTGAAACATCACATCGCTGCTGCACTGATGCTTTCACGGCGCCTGGAATAAAGACACTGCATCATTTCCCTTCCGCGAGCGCACAATGAATGAATGAAGAGGCAAGTGATGCTGTGCTCTGCCAGCTCGGGGTAACGCATAACAGCGTTTGTTCTGTATTTGTCCGCTTACAATAACGAACTTGGCGTGGCGTTAAGATGTTTCCGTCGTGCTATTCCAAGCCCAAAAATGGGTCTCAATTCAAGATGTCTTACACTAAAGTGATTTTTGGGGTGTTGGTGGTGTATGTCCTCCATACGTGCTGGGCCATGTACGGCTTCATTCACACCAAACCCTGTGACAGCGCTAAAGGGGACATCTGCGTTACATCTTACCTTACTGTCAAGCCTCGACTTCAGGTGAGAAGAGCTCATTTCATTTAACTGACTTTGTCAAATATATTGTCAGTAGCTGATTGCTTCAGAAGGTTACAGTTATTGCATGTCTCAACAGCTCAGTATCTATTCCGCTCTGGACCCCAGTGATGAAACTGGATACAGCCTACTGTTCAAAGTGGACAGATTTGACATTAACACCAAGTTTGAAAGGCAAGCTGACATTTTGTGTGGGTCTGTGTGAAAAAGAAGTACACTTTAGCATGATTTTATTATAAAAGAGTACTTATTACAGAAAAAATATAGGCTCTACTACTTTAAAAAATGTAGGCTGCTTAATTGTTTTGAATGAATGTAATTAGCTGAACTTTAAAGTGCTTTTTGACTGACTTCAATTTTGGAATTAAGTACATCTTTTTAAATACATTTCATAATCATTTTGTATGTCTCATTAAAGTATGTTCTAAATGTACTGACAAGCATTTATGTTAACATAAAATATACTTTAATGCCATTTCTACTGAAACTTGTATGACATGGATTTAAATATACAGTAGACATATTTGTAATGATGTTGCAATTTAGTACATTTAAAATATATCACAAAGGCTATATTTGCATGTGCTTTAGTATTTTCGTCAACACGTCAATAAGTGTACTTCTATAAATTACATCAACAGATCATTAAAACAATGATCTAAGATGTACTTTTTAAAATAAACTTATGACATTATTATAAAGTGCACTTTTTAAAAGTGTACTTAAGTGTGTTGAGGAACAGCCATATATTCTTTAAGTATACTTAAACTTTAAACTAAAACTGAGACTTTTATGTCACAATTCTATATTATATGCAGGTACAGTTTTTTTAAAATATGCTTTATGTGCACATTCAGTACAAAAAGCACACTTTTTCACAAGATTAGATTTGTTGCATGAGCAAGTTTAAACAATGTAGCATAAAAAAAAGTAGGTATACTATTTTTAAACTGCTGTAGTTGTTCTGCTGTTGGTGAGAACATTCCTACATTGTATAATGATTTAATGACATTCAGAATTTTTAAAGTGTTGCTTAAGGGACGACTTGTGTATCAAAGTAACATAACATATTTACCAAGTGATACCGTCACTATTGTCACCACAGGTTATTTTTAGGGCTATATGACAATCTCATTTACCATTTACATTTCACAGAAAGTACACTATAGCTCAGAAACATATAGTGAAAACTGGCAAGATTGAAAAACATCCTTTAATGTGGTTTTGACCAATTTTATTGTATGCGAATACTGAAAGTGCAGTTTTGTTTTGTTTGGTTTTTCGTCAGATAGCATGCTTAATTCATCTAGTATACTGTGTTGTGATTAAAGGAAGGTGAGTGTCGCAGTTCCTGAGATGACCCATAACAATGGGACGGTCCATGCCGTAGTGTTTGTGCACAAGAGTGGAGTTTTGCCTTGGAAAGACAGTAGACATGTGCGGCTTGTGGCCCGTCTCACCTCTCAAATGGTCCCTCTTCAGTCTGGCAACCGTGAGGTATTGTGGCCCTTTATTAATGCCAGCAATCACTATCTTTATTGTATTCAGACAAGTTTAAAACACTTCAAATTTTCAGGAAAAAATCAGTTTAGGTCAATTCTTGTGGCAGCTTATTGGTACTCTATTGCCCAAGTGATAATGGTAATTTTAGATGACCTTTCTGATGTATTTCATTATAAAACCCTTTATAATCTATAATAACAATAAACTTATTTCTCATATTTCTCTTCATATAATGTAAACATCATTAATTACCACTTGTGTTTAATAAAAAGTTTGATTAGTGAAATTAGTAAAAAAATCTGAATGATTATAAATGTCTGTTATTGGCCTGTCTAGCTAAGCCCTCAAAACACTTCTTATTTAGTGGTACAGTATTGCATGATTTGTAGATTATATTTAATAGTTTACACTTTGCATAAACGTTTGCAGTTAGTTTTTAAAAGGTAACATTACATCCTTAAGGACTGTACACTTACATTTCTTTTCAGGAGCACTTGTGCTCCTACTTAAAAAAAAAAATTTAGGAACACCTTCTGATCAATGACAGAAATTAACCTTCCTATTATAAGGCGATGTTTGACTCCTTAAATGTTTTTTAACCTTTGTAATGCCTCTGACTTTATTAAATGTATGTCATCTTTTGTGCCAAAAAAAAATTTGATTTATAAACTTTTATCAAAAATTTTAATTAAACAATAAATTAAATTAAAATAATAAAATTTATTATTAAATTTATAAAATAAAATGGACAAAAACTGCAGTCTGCTTTCACGATCTGTTGTGAGGAGCAGGACGCGCACGGATAGAGAAGCATTTTCATTGGCTGCAGTTTGCAGGTTTATGGCCAATCACAAAAGACGGCATTGCGTAGCTACCCATAGACACAAATATCCCGGCGCTATGTTTTTATTCTATATCACGCTAGGTTTATATGCAGAATTGGGATCGCTTTCGTAGTCTTTTGAATGGATAAAATACAGAAATCACTTTAATTTCCAAATAAACCTAACCAGTTGGAAATGAAACGCCGTCCCCCCCCCATTTCCCGCCCTGCTTAAATAGAATTTTACTTGTAACGCGTATGTTAAAGCAATAAGCCCCAAGAAGCTGTGGTTTACAGCGAATTTATAACAGCTAAGGGGCGTTGTTAGGCACAATGTGGAGCGGAGTGGCTAAAACCCCCTTAGCTGTTATAAATTCACTGTAAACCACGGCTTCACGGGGCTTATTGCTTTTATAAAACGGTTATTCCTTATACGTAGTTAGGTTTCACAAAATAAAACGGAGCAAATAAAGTGTAATGATATTAATAAAAACAGTATTCTTCCACCAAACAACGTAGTTCCTCAGAAACAGTTGTGGTTGCAACAAAGTGGTTGCCAAGCAACACACAAAGTAAACAAAGGTGTATGTTTGTAGAGTAATTTACAACAGCTTCGAATGCGGCTCAACCAATTAGAATCAAGGACCGGAACTATCCGTTTTATAACATGTATTTAAATATATTTGTAATGACAAATTCTTAATGATGAAGTTAATGTAATATATTACATTTTAAATATATTTTTCTGTAAATGTAATCTAGAATAACACACTACAGTAAAAATTAAAAACAAGGTCTTAGCTTTAGTATATTAGTCAACACACCAAAAAAGTAACTTTTAATCTGACATTATTACACTTTGTTAGGAAACATAGTCATGAAAGTGTAAAGTGGCTTTTTATTTAATTATTATAAAATTAATCAAATAAATATCTGCAAATACAGTTTTTTAATATACTTTTATGGTTTGAAGTAAAATCTTTCAGTACAGTACATCATGTGCACTTCTTTTTCATGAGATGTGTTGATACCATGCTATTTTTGCATGAAACAAAAGCACTATTTTTAATTCGCCCTGCATAAGAGCTTATACATTACAGTAATATTACTTTATCATTTGTCCATGAAAGCATTGAATACATGAATATATTCTCCATTTCAAATCAGCTCTTGCAAATGCATTATGATAGATGCAAATGACTTCCTGTAAATGTGGATCTTTCACTGTGTAAAGGCACCAGAAGAGCAGCAGATTGTTTCTTACTGGAGATCACGACTTATCTTAAATGTAATGAATGAGGATTTCACCTTCAACAGTGCTGCCGTGCCCAGCGACCTTCGCCGCTATATGAAAATGTGAGTTATTATCTGAAACCTAGATGTATCTGTGTCTAATATCTTATCTAGACATCCAACACTTTATGTTTCACTTTCATTTTATTTTCTCAGAGTTGAAGATGGAAAAAAGGAAAAAAAGAAATTTTATCTGCCACTGCTACTGGTTGATGAACTAAGAAGCCGATTAAATGATTTAATTGTATGTAAAGACTGTTCAAATGTATAAAATTACAGTTTTGAGATTTCATAAAAAATATAATGAGTTTGATTTATGAATGCACTTTCGCATGTTGAATTACACAGGAGATGAACAGCACCACAAAAGCAGTCCCTCTGACAATAACATATGACACCATTACCTTACGCAAGTTCAGAATATGGATCCACATACAAGCTGTTATATACTCACTCAAACATTTTGGTGAGTGACATTCAATCATAAATTATAAATCATACACTTGAGATAACTCAATAACTAGATTCTCCGGTTTCTCAGGTTTAATGTTTAATTCCATATTAATCATAAGGATGTTTTTCTACTTTATCTCACAGGATTTTCGGAGCAGAATCTTGATGAAATTAAAGCCATGTTTGTTGAGAGTGGGCTGCATGTCTTGGCTTTGTCCGTTCTAGTACCTGCATTCCATGTAAAAATACTTTATAAAAATGCTTAATTTGATGTGCTTAATCTATTTATTATGTGTATATCTTACCAATAATACATAATTATCTTACCATCAGTTGATTATTTTGTTTTTGCAGCTATCATTTGAAATCTTTGCCTTCAAGAATGACATAAGGTTCTGGCAAGAAAAGAAGAGTTTAGCTGGCATTTCTAGAAGATCTGGTACTGAATCTTCATACCTAGACCTGCTGTATGTTAAAGGGGTCATATGATGCGATTTCAAGTTTTCCTTTCTCTTTGGAGTGTTACAAGCTGATTGTGCATAGATAAGATCCCTGAAGTTGCACAAAAGAATTGGTCACAGCTGGGAAAAATGTGGCTGTAAAATTGTGTTTCTCTGTCTCTGCAGTTGTGTGGAGATGTTTCAGCACCATCGTAATATTCCTCCATCTACTAGAAGAACAATCCAGCTGGCTGATTCTACTTCCCACTGGGATCTCAGCTCTAATTGAGGTATAAAAATAGACTGAATGTGCTCATTTTGGACTGCTGGCATTTATTTCTGTTAAAACCAAAGTAACTGAATATGAATCGTCCTCTACTATTGTTGAATTTGCAGTTATGGAAAGTGAAAAAGGTCTTAGCGCTTTCACCCAAATTTCATGTAAGTGTTTATCACTTATACTCAGGAAGCACAGTATGGTCTTTTCGAGGAATATGGTACACGTCTTACTCATTCGACGTTGTTTTTCTTGAAGGATGAAAGAATGGATGATTTCGAGCGAGCAACGGAAGACTGTGATGCTAAGGTATGAGTGAATGCTTTGTTAAACCATTTCATTTTGCTCATTGAATCATTTTGTAACCCCTCTTTCTTCCAGTTCCCGTATTCATCTTATTCTATGACACTATTGATTTGCCTGGAAATATGTATTTTCAGTCGGATCAAACTGTAGTTTTACATGGACATTCTCTTTACTTGCACAGGCCATGAAGTTCTTGTCATATCTGATGTATCCATTGTGTATCAGTGGGGCCATATACTCATACTTATATCTCCAAAATAAAAGGTAACATTTTTCATTAATTAACTACAGTATAATCACATTACACATTCATTTTTTTATTTAAAATACAGTGGGTTCCGAAAGTTTGTGAACCCTTGAGAGTCTTTTGTAAATTTGACCTACATTGAGGCTGGATCTACCTGTAACTACATAAATACAAATCCAGCTAAATGAATAACTCAAAAAACGTTGCATATTTCTACTTATTTATTAAGCAAAATAATCCAGCAGTGAATATCTTTGCTGTTATGTGGTGTAACGCCCTTGAGCAGCAACCACATGTTTCCAAGTAACTGTGAATCAGTCCTGTATGTCAGCTTGGAAGAATTTTGGCCTATTCCTACTAACAACACTCGTTTTAATCAGTAAGTTCCATTTGGATTCATCTGTTTATATATGTTCATATTTATACAGAAAATTCACAAAAAGGGTTCACAAATGTTTTAATGCCACTGTAATTTTTTATATAAATATATGTATTTATGTTTCATTATGTTGTCTACTCTCAATAGTTGGTACTCTTGGATAACCAATGGCCTTATTAGTGGTAAGAGCTTTAATAATAAAAAAAAGTATTAAAGAATTATTAAACGTATATAAGAGTTGTTAAAGCACACTGTATTACTTTCTGTACAAAAGAAGTGAAAATAAAAGTTCATCTTCTTTTTAAACATCAAGGTGTTTATGCATTTGGATTTCTTTCAATGGTTCCTCAGTTGTTCATCAATTATAAGGTTTGTTTATAGACCAATCGTAAAATACAGTTCAACTACAGTTGTCTTTTTTCTGTACTGTTTACTCTGAATGTTCCTTAATTGTGTCTTTTGCTTTTCTCCACAGTTAAAATCAGTGGCTCATCTGCAGGTGTCCATCTTTATGTATAAGGTACGCTGCAGTTGAATGAGAAATCAATTTTAATTTTATGAAAACATATACTGAAACTTTCAGGAACACACAACTTTTTCCCTAGTCCAAAAAGGCCATTAAAACTAAGTGGCCTTTCACATAGAACACATTTTTGCATTCCACTGTGCTGCTTTTCCATTATTTTTCTATGTTAACTTGAGCTTGACAGACATCTTTGGCCAGTATTCCCGCGTATTGCATCTTTTGCCTTTGTTTGTTTTTTTGTTTTTTTTGCATGTCACACATTTTTTTCCATTCCACTCCCCCGCCACTCACAAATACGCGAAACTGTGTTCTGTGTGAAAGGCCTCTAAACTATTGAAACTTCTAGATTAAAACATTAACACAGTGGTTCCCAACCCTGGTCCTGGAGGCACCCCAACACTACAAGAGCAGCACCCATATTCACACATCAACAACACCTATTTATTGTTCAGAACTTGCCCGCACAGTCACAGTAAGATAATAAAGAGGAAGTTATTATTAAAATTATTAATAAAAGAACTGAACATTTAAATGCATGAATGGTCATCAGACTGGTTCTCTGCTGTGTGTAGCACCTACACCTCTGCATATCCTTCTGAAGGATCTTAACGTTAGGGCTGATGCTCACTTTTAGTTGGGTAACTGATCATTTAGTTCATTGTCCATAAACTAAGACGACTGTATACCCTTTCCAAAATAGATGTACAAAAATGTTTTATCAGAGTAGAGTCACAATGCTGGTTTGCCTTTGCTTCTCAGGGCTTGAACACATTCATCAGCGATGTGTTCAGTGGAATAATAACCACTCCTGGACCCCATCACTTGGCGTGCTTCAGAGATGATGTGGTCTTCCTCATCTACCTCTATCAGCGCAGGTGGGGAAAACATACTATTGGTGCATGTGGAGTGGACAAGTCATTTTACCCATTTGTCCTCATAAACCATATATACGGTGGCCAAGAGAGCTCAACGTGCTGCAATTTAAGAAAACACATGCAAAAGGAAAAAGCGCCAACAAATTACGAAAACATCATCAGTTTGACAACATATGTACTCCAAATACTCACAGCACAATCAAATACAGAAGCACACTGCAAATACTCGCAACACAAACAAATTTGGTTGTTGCGAGTATTTGCAGCACGTTTCTGTATTTGATTGTGTTGTCAGTATTTGCAGTGCATTTCTGTATTTGATTGTTGTGTTGCAAGTATTTGCAGTGCGTTTCTGTATTTTGTTGTGTTGTGAGTATTTGCAGTGCATTTCTGTATTTGATTGTGTTGTGAGTATTTGCATTGCATTTCTGTATTTGATTGTTGTGTTGTGAGTATTTGCAGCACATTTCTGTATTTTGTTGTGTTGCGAGTATTTGCAGCGCGTTTATGTTTTTGTAGCGCATTTTCATATTTGGTTGTGTTGCGAATATTTGCAGAACTTTCTGTAGTTGATTGTGTTGTGAGTATTTGCAGTGCATTTGTGTATTTGATTGTTGTGTTGCAAGTATTTGCAGTGCGTTTCTGTATTTGGATATGTTGTGAGTATTTGCAGTGCGTTTATGTTTTTGGTTGTGTTGTGAGTATTTGCAGCGCGTTTCTGTATTTGCAGCACATCTTCATGTTTGAATGTGTTGCGAGTATTTGCAGTGCATTTCTGTAATTTATTTTGTTGTGAGTATTTGCAGGGTGTTTCTGTATTTAATTGTGTTGTGAGTATTTGCATTGCATTTCTGTATTTGATTGTTGAGTTGCGAGTATTTGCAGTGTGTTTTTGTATTTTGTTGTGTTGTGAGTATGTGCAGCACATTTCTGTATTTTGTTGTGTTGTGAGTATTTGCAGTACGTTTATGTTTTTGCAGAGCGTTTTCGTATTTGGTTGTGTTGTGAGCATTTGCAACGCGTTTATGTTTTTGTAGCACATTTTCATATTTGGTTGTGTTGCGAATATTTGCAGAACTTTCTGTATTTGATTGTGTTGTGAGTATTTGCAGTGCATTTCTGTATCTGATTGTTGTGTTGCGAGTATTTGTAGTGCGTTTCTGTATTTGGTTGTGTTGTGAGTATTTGCAGCACGTTTATGTCTTTGCAGGGCGTTTTCGTATTTGGTTGTGTTGCGAATATTTGCAGAACGTTTCTGTATTTGATTGTGTTGTGAGTATTTGCAGTGCGTTTTTGTATTTGGTTGTGTTGTGAGTATTTGCAGTGCATTTCTGTATTTGGTTGTGCTGTGAGTATTTGCAGCGTGTTTATGTTTTGCAGCGCATTTTCGTATTTGGTTGTGTTGTGAATATTTGCAGCACATTTCTGTATTTGCAGCACGTTCCTGTATTTGGATATGTTGTGAGTATTTGCAGTGCGTTTCTGTTTCTGTTTGTGTTGCGAGTATTTGCAGCACATCTCTGTATTTGGTTGTGTTGTGAGTATTTGCAGTGCATTTCTGTAATTTATTGTGTTGTATTTGCAGGGCGCTTCTGTATTTGGTTGTGTTACGAGTATTTGCAGCACGTTTCTGTATTTGGTTGTGTTGTGAGTATTTGCAGCGCGTTTATGTTTTTGTAGCGCATTTTCATATATTTTTCATATTTGCATATGTTTTGTCAAACGGATGAAGATGTTTTCTTAATTTGCTAGTGTTTTTTTCTATTTGCATATGTTTTTTCATTTGCAGTACGTTAAGCTCTCTTGGCCACCGTAAATATATACCAGAACACACACATATATCACATAAATGTGTATAATTTATACACAAACAAACGTGACTGTACTTTAAATTACCAGTAGCTTTTAGCTTTACAAACTACAGTTACAGAGTAGTTTCCCATTCCTTGTTGAGAGTACAGTAATTCGGTGGATTAGCTGCTCAAATGTTGTTCATTTCTGTCTTCAGGATTTACCCAGTGAGCAAGTCCAGGTCACGTGATTACGGGGCGTCACACAGGAAGAAACCCAAAGGAAAGCCACATGAAGACTAACCCTCCACGGCGTCTGTGACAGCTTGCGCTCTCCATGCATGCAATACAGGAGAAACGCTACAAAAATTGAAGAAGGGCATTACAGTCACTGAAAAGTTCTCTTTGTGTATCCTTGTAATGAGCCTGCCTCCTGCTGCGAAATCCGACAGAGCTACACTTACAGTACAATCGTTTCTACTTGAACAAGACAGACCTGAAGAGATTAGCAGCGCACACCTGCTTTAGATTAAATCCGTGTGTAATATTCACTCAGGCCGATCCAACCAACAATTAGAAAGTGATGTGAGCTCTGAAGGAAACTACAGCAACACCCACCTGTGCTTTTATAACCTTTGAAAGAATGACTGCAATGGCAATGCCTATGATTACCGCATCTACACTACTGTTTTCAAACATTTAGAAAATCGCCCACTAGTTGTTTTGAACGCAAAAGAACTTTGCACAGATTTGGAAACACATTTTGAGTTAGCTGCTTTGCATTTATCTTGGTTTTGCATTTGAACCGCAACGCAGATATTTCTGACATGCTCACCTCTGCTGCGGATACGACAGGAAATGAATTTGCTGAAATAGCAAGCTTCAGTACAGTATTTATTCCGAATGTTTTAAGAGTATTATTTTATCATGTGCATTACTTGGTCTTGTTTATTATGAAAGAATAATTTTCCATGAAAGAAATGTCAAATACATGTCTGTTTGACTATATCTAGGTTTCCTTTGTCTTCTAAAACATGTTTTAATTAAAGTTGGACAATATAATTATTTTCTTCTGGCTTTTTCACCTTGTTGCCATTAAACAAAACCTGAAAAAAACTCAAAGACAAAACTGGAGATGATAATATCTTTGTTTTGGCAGTTTCACCCATTAGTGGAAAACGCACAAGGATGTGACATCACCCGCGACATAGCAACATACAAACTGCTCTGTGTCTAAAATTCACATCTAAGCGTCGTCATGTTAGAATCTGATAGCCACGTTGTGACACCAGTCCAAAAGTATGAGGGAATGTGTGCCTTCTTTCAGTTGTCTCTTCACAGGAGATGTGAAAGAATGTCTGCTTGGTGGATCTTTGGGAAGACAGTGAGTTTGAGTCTGTGAACACCCAGTGAACTCTCCCACACATGCAGTCAGTCAGTGCTTCAGCAGCATGGCGACTCTTTCTAGTCTGCTCTTTTTACTTCTAACTGTACACTCGGGTATGGCTTCTGATTCACTTGCTTGAATTGCTTTCATATATGTTGGATTCTTAACATGCTTCCATGTTGATTGTTTGTAATCTAGTTTGAAACAGCAGTTCTCTAATATGGTTCACAGTTTTTGATAGAAAATTCAGGTGCTATTTTTAAACAGTGTTGAGATTTGTTTGAAATATACACACACATATTTACATTACTTATGTAATTTAAATTGTGTGTGTGTGTGTGTATATATATATATATATATATATATACTGAACAAAATTATAAACGCAACACTTTTGTTTTTGCCCCCATTTTCATGAGCTGAACTCAAAAGATCTAAGACTTTTTCTATGTACACAAAAGGCCTATTTCTCTCAAATATTGTTCACAAATCTGTCTAAATCTGTGTTAGTGAGCACTTCGAAAATTATGTTACGTTTATATATGAAATATATGTATATATGATATAATTTATATGAATATAAATATATACATGAGTTAATATGATATAATATGATATATGATATAATATATATATGAGATAATATGAGTTTTATATACACTACATATATATACACCATTCAAATGTTTGGAATTATTTAATGTTATAAGTATCTTATATGCTTCACAAGGCTGTATGAAATTAATATAAAGTACAGAAGAAACAGTATTATTGTGAAATGTAATTACAGTTTAAAACAACTATTTTCTATTTTAATATTTTTGAAAGGTCATTTATTCTTGTGATGAAAATGCTGAATTTTCAGCAGCCATTACTCTAGACTTCAGTGTCAAATTATCCTTCAGAAATCATTCTATTGTGTTGATTTGGTGCTCGACAAGAAACCTTTTTTATTGTTATCACAGTAGTGCTGCTTAAAGCTGCAGTCCGTAACTTTTTATGGTTAAAAATTATCCGAAATCAATATTTGAGCAAGTACATAACCAGCCAGTGTTCAAAACTATCACCTTATTTAGCCCGATTCACAACGGTCATCTTAATGTTTGCTAATTTGAGTGGTATGGGTAGGTTTTCGCGGAAATTCGAGCATGCCGCTGCGTCATTATGTCACGTCTGTAAACATAAAGAAGTTGTCCCGGCTACTAGACTATCGCATGTGAGGATCCTGCAGGTGGCCGATCGTTTATAGCCTTTTCTCACAGCTGGAATAATTAAATGTATCAATTTGATGGCGGATTGTAATGCAGAAAGGATTATGTCATGTGTTTATGAAACAAATGTGAATGAAATTAAATTATATTCCAGTTTTAAATGTACTTCTGATTACAGATAGCCTGGGATTACAAAGATTTGTATTTTAAAGAAAACCAGTTCGAAGGGAGCATAATTTGCTTTTTGGGTTAAAAGAATTTCTTAATATGAAATTCGAAGAGTATGACAAGTGTGTTTATGTGTATGTTAGACCAGTTTAAGTGTGTATTTGTATGTTAGACCAGTTTAAGTGTTTATGTAGTATGTTGGACTAGTTTAAGTGTTTATGTAGTTAATAAAGTCTTACTTGTATCACACTTGATGTTGTTCATTGTTTGCTCATAACTGGAGTCCCTTAATCATGCAGATTTATGCTACAAGCTCTGTGTGGAGTTGTACAGTATGAAAGTTATTTCCCTTAACCAGGAAATTAACGTTCTTAGAATTGACAGACAGTTGACCCTGAGAGGTCAAGTAAATATCTACAGCGGATCTAAATATTTATAATTAATTATAACTAGTTATGATTATTCATATTTCCCCATGCATGAGCTGATTCGCTACACCTGTAATATTCTGAAGCCATATTCTAGGCTCAATAAAAGTTAAGCTCAGTCGTCCGCAATGAAAGAATTTTAATTTCTATATTACAACCACTGATCTATAATATATAGAGATAATTCAGAGATGACCTTTATTCCCTGTGGTCCTTCCAGTAGAGTCCCAGTCAAAACAGATGATGCTATGCAAAAAGAAACAAAACAAAACAAACAAAAAAGATCAGTTATTGGAGTTGCGCACTGGTTGGTTGAACAGGTTTCACGTCATGAGTGCAATTTAGTAGATTTTATCAGGACCGGAATGATTGGTTTTATGAGTCTAATGACTTATGATCTAGTGAGATCTTCATAGCAGTATAGCAGACTCCCTAGATAAAATGCATATACATTTCAACTCTCCTAATATTATGTCCTAGTAAAATGATATTTAGATGTTTAGTTTTAGTTTTTTTTTGTAGTGAGTAAAACCTAGGCTATAATGTTTTTTGTATCAAAAAAGTCTAAACAATTAGAACGCACGTAGCAGATTGCATACAACAGCAAAGCTTTATAAAATATTATTATTATAATATAGATTATATTTCCATCTAATGGTTACATAAAAACGACACAATCTCACTCTCATTCATTTAAAAGCAAAATAAAGACGTTTACCTATAACAGAATGACAACTGATATATCTGCATATGCGAGCTTCTTTAAATCACGTGGTCAGATATTCAGTTCCTACAAAGCTGCTGCATAAGTTATAAAACAAACTATTCGATACAGCAGATGGAGAACTAGATGAGCTTTGAATTTGGTCTTTTCAGGAGGAGTTACTGCCATTGTGAAGTCGTGCTCCAATTCAAAAATCTGCGCAAGCACTGCAGCCACTGCCTATGTGGACAATAATGGAAATGGCGTGCTGTAAGTTATCTGTGCAGCTACAGCAGAGCTGCGAGCGTCACACTGCACTGCTCCTCTTCAGACAGCACACTTGAAATGTTAAACACATCCCATCATGGACTAAAACGGTCTTCATATTGAAAATCCTACTGAGCTAACTTCCCTTGCTTCATTACCTGGCTGTGGTAACAGTCGTTTGGTTGAAAAGGATGTACAGTCTGGTAAACAGATAATGTATTTAAGTAATTGTATGAAAACTTTTGAAGGAAGACTTGCAGGAGCCTGTGTAAACTAGAGAATGAATATAATCAAAATTATAACATAACTGTGTTGCACATGAATTTAGGCCCTAGATATGTATATCTTCAGACATATGGATATAATTTAAAATGAGTTTTAATGCCTTTTCCCTATTTTACTTTTAATGAAAATAAAAATTACAATTTAACAAATAAAATTCTAAAATCTAATGTTTGTCTTGAATGGAAAAAATGAATGGATTATAAAGCAAACATGTATTTTTAAAAAAAAATGTTGATTGCCTAATAAAATAACCATAAAAAAATTATTTTTAATAAATAGGACACAAGTTAAATAGTAAAGGTAGGATACACATTAGTGGAAGACAAAGACAACATGCCAATAAATAAAATTAAGAATTTTTATTTATCAAGAACTGATTTAAAATAAATACATAGGACACACACAAAAATAAAGAAAAAAACAAAACGATTTTTGTGCTGTATAAAGCATGTGCAATTTCAAAATCTTTAAAATATTCGTCCATCTTCATTATGTGATAATACTTCTATCAACAAGTGAGCTCATATGAACAGTTACACAACAGGAAACAAATCCTAGAAAATGACAAAAACTGATATCTTTTACATCAGTCATAGAAACTGTGGCAAAATACCAAAAGTGATGACAAAGTTGTGATTTTGGATATATAATATCCATATTGTATGGTGCTTATCCAAAAGGCCGTAACTATATGATGATAGCTGTCAACAAAATCACAAAAACCTAGGGTGGTGGAAAACACCGAGTCAGACATTCTTTTGCAAAGCATTTAGAGGAAAAAAAGTTCAGGTAATGTCTCTTGATTATTAGCTGCGTCCTGCAGTGTCCTCTGCTGGCGGTGAGTGGCTGTTGAGCTGGTCTTCATGGCAAGGCTTCTCCACTGAGCTCTACGATCAGTTTAGCGTCTGTGTCCGTCTGTACGAGTAGTGTGCCGGAAAACTGGCCCACAGTGGCTGGCACGAACTGAACAGGGAGGTTGATGTAGTGTTGTGATCTAGGAAAGCACATGCAGATATAGTAAACCAAACTAGCTTGTAATGCTACGGAGCAAAAAAGTAAATGGAAAGAAAGTGAATTTATTTCACATCAACACAAGAAACTGCAAAAACATTTCCACATTCGCTCGCCAACTGATATAGCACGAATAACAAAATATTGGAAGTAGTTTGTCAGTTTAAAATTTAACTCAAGCTAAAAATGATTTATGACACCACACATTTAGTACACAAATACATGCATATAGTAAAATGCATGTTGTGCCACAAACCCCACACACACACACACACACACACACACACACAAATCTGACCTGTGGCTGAGCTCTGAATCAGAGCCTTCACATCAGGCATTGGCAGCAGGAAGTGACATGGAACGCTTCAATAAAATCTTTCTACTTGCTATTTTTCCTTAAATTGGCTTGTGCAAACAGTAAGACTTTCTACTACTAGAGAAAGAGTAAGCAAGAGAGACTGTGACTCACCTTAGAGAATAATTTGAATGCTTGATGTGGAAAGGCTCTTTAGGACTTACGAATTTTAGCTGCAAGTCAATTAGAAAACCTCAAAGTAAGTTTCATGCCAGACATTTAGGAGAAGCAGTAATAACACTGCACTCATCAACATGCAAAGACCATTTAGTGACTGAATTTGTTAGACTTGAATGTATTTTATATTTACATGGTTGCTCTGTGACCTCTTAAAGGAATAGCTCACCCAAAAGTGAACATTTCCAGAAAATGTACTCACCCTCAGGCCATCCGAGATGTAGATACATTTGTTTCTTCATCAGAATGGATGGAGAAATTTAACATTACATCACTTGCTAACTAATGGATCTTCTGGAGTGAATGGGTGCCGTCAGAATGAGATTTCAAACAGCTGATAAAAGCATCACAGTAATCCACAGTCCATCAGTTAATGCTCAAAATACCAGTCCATAATCGATATTTGTTGATGTAAACATTTTTAAAAAAAATCTGTTTTGGACTGTTTTCACATTTCTCACCTGAATCAAATGAAATAAATGACTTTAACTGGAGAAATCAATAATATTGAGGACTTGAATTTGATGGCGGATTGTAATGCAGAAAGGATTATGTCATGTGTTTATGAAACAAATGTGAATGAAATTAAATTATATTCCAGTTTTAAATGTGCTTCTGATTACAGATAGCCTGGGATTACACAAGATTTGTATTTTAAAGACAACCAGTTCGAAGGGAGCATAATTTGCCTTTTGGGTAAAATAATTTCTTAATATGAAATTTGAATGGTATGACAATTACAGATTAGACTGCAGAAATTGAAATCTACTCGCTTATACACACTATACTCATAGTCACGCAATGCTGATGTTGTTAACATGAATCATTTGAGAATAAAGTATAACAATAATAATAATTTGCATGGTTTGATGTGATATGAGCTAACCGATCTTTAGATTAAATCACCATTGGTAGCACGATTTATTGTAATGCTTTTTTCCTCAGTTGGTCAGAACAAACGTGGCAGACGTGTTACTTGTTCAGATGACAATATCCGGTGAAAATTCTTATTTGGGTCATATATTCCAAGATGTAGGCTAGAGTCTGTGATTGCAAAGCACAGTAAATATCCACACCGGTGCGGTGACTGACTTCCACACATACTCTTCAGAGCATTAGATTCATCTGCGCTGGAGCCGTGCCGACTCACAACCTACGCAAGGAAGATAATTCCACACACAGCTGCAATTCCAGGTTTTCAAACAGAGATGGCGACAAAGAGGCAAAACTTACGGACTGCAGCTTTAATATTTTATTGTATTTCTTGAATAACCAGACTATTATTTATTTTGCAGTAAATGCGTTAAAAGTGTTACGTGTGTGGCTCCGCAACATCAAATCAGGAATATAACAAAAACCTTCAGGACTGTCAGGCTGCTCTGGACTCCTGCATGACCACTGTCGGCACACGAGGTGAGCGAATGCCTTTGACGTTAAAGTAGCTCCACACGGATATGGGAAAATCTATGTATACATTGAAGAAGTGATCAGATAATGAGTTTATTCAAACGGGAATGGGCAGAACAACAACAGCCACCTAATTCTGAACATCAGATATCAGCTGATCATCCTAGTGTATTTCTTTAGAATATTAGCAACTGAACAGAATTCTTAAAGGCAGAACATGGCTCTGGGGTCTATAATACACATAAGTCATGTTTTGCAGTCTTATGTGTGCATTAATATGCTTTTTAAAAGTTTTGTTTTTAGACTAGTTTGGAGGGGAAATATCTCTGCATTGCAAAATGATCTATTACATTTTATTTTGAGCATTTTAAAAATGATTGAAACATGGGCTTGTGTCTATAAGTTTCATTAGCAAGTGAAAAAAAAGGAAGTCAATGGCTGCCGGCAACTGTTTGGTTATTAACATTCCTCAGAATATCTTTTGAGTTCAACAGAACGGAGAAGATCGTACAGGTTTGGAGCAAATTTTGGGGGGAACTATCCCTGTGTAGCGTCTGGACAAATCAGACACACCATTTTTCATTTGATTTAACAAATCAATTATTCATTAGATTAACAAACGTTCACAGACCCCTCACCCAATAAACATACTGGGTGCCAAGTTGTCTGTGAACAAAACAGCTGATAAAAGCATCACAGTAATCCACAGTCCATCAGTTAATGCTCAAAATACCAGTCCATAATCGATATTTGTTGATGTAAACATTTTTAAAAAAAATCTGTTTTGGACTGTTTTCACATTTCTCACCTGAATCAAATGAAATAAATGACTTTAACTGGAGAAATCAATAATATTGAGGACTTGAGGTTTGAAAAGTTTTGATGAATTTACTACAAACACAGCTTTTCACTTCACAGACGTACATTACTGTGAATTATTATGATGCTTTTATCAGCTGTTTGGACTCTCATTCTGACGGCACCCATTCACTGCAGAGGATCTTTTGGTGTGCAAGTGATGTACTGCTAAATTTTTCAAAATCTATTCCGATGGGGGAAAAAAACACTAATCTACATCTAAATGCAAGTACATTTTCATTTATGAGTTAACTATTGCTTTAATGCGTTTTTCCACATAGAGACAGGACTTTAAACAACTGTAAAGTGACATTCTTGATTAGCTGCTGCCGCTTTACAAATGTCATCTGACTTTTGTTTATTTAGTGTGCTGACTAGTGCAGCCCTATGTTCTCACCTCATGTGTGTTGGAGGAGTTATTTCTGAAGTTAACCTTCAGTGTGCTGGTGGCGCCCACTCGTGTGGCAGGAAATGTGTACAGACTTTGAGGTGCATAAACGCCCCTCTTCTGATTCTCAGTTGAAGATCTGAATGAATTAGAAATAAACCTCAAAATATGCCTATGACATTTTAGCAGTGAAAGAAGTCTTCCTCTATAGGTCAGATTTCTAACAGGAATACAAGCCTTACCCAGTCTTTGAGCCTGCAGAATCCAGTCTCTTCCTGTTCTTCACAGTGGCTTCCGTTTTCACCAAGGAGCAATTTTCTTTAACACTCGATGCTTCTCCTGCTCTTATGCCCTGCACACATGAATCAATACACTCAACAGGGAAGTACTACCACTCCCTCCTGCATTAGTGTCCTTTATTTATGACTGAAATGGCACTTTTAGCTAATAGTCAATGTTGTTAATAGGCAAATTAATAGGGCAGTTACATTAGTTTAGCCTAGCTATGAAACTCACATACAGAACTCTGCATTCAATAGACTTACAGTGCCACACAACTGGAAGCGAACACGGCTCTTGTGCTGAGGTTTGGCTGTTGGGTGACATTCCAAATCCCAAAACTGCGCATAATCTCCCCGATCACGTGGAAGGAAAGTGAATGGAACCTTTTTACAAAACAAAACAGAAAACTTGAATCAGTTGAAAGAAAATTCTAGATCTGTCAGAGACTAGATGATGTTTGACACATCCACACCCCTACCTGCATCCTCTCTTGAATCCCCAGAGTCCCAGATGCCTTCTCACATCTGAAGGCAGAGTATGTGGCACGATAAACATCTCCACCGCTATCGACACCCTGATCCAACAGACAACAGTGAAGTCGAAATCAATAAATCCCTCAGGAACGAAAGCTTTAAAAATTCTTACATAACTGCCAACATCACAGACCTTTACATATGGAGGAGCAAATGAAGAGAGGTACCATCTGACCTCCTCTCCATGATTCTCCACCTCCAGAGAACATTCTGCACAAAGAAAACAATTGTTTTCCTTTTACATTTTAATAGGCCAAGATTTAAGAATCCTATTGAAAGTCGGTCTCAAATCAATCAAAATTGTGTTACTGTACAAAGAAAAGAAAATATTCAGTTGACAGGTTCTGTACTTACCTGATGATTCTCCAGAGGCAGTGGGAGGGAAGACCAGCGTTCGGTTCTTGATCTCAACCTGAGGCTGGGTGCTGCTGCTCTGAGGTTTCTGTCCTGGTACTAAAGGGGTCTCAGCCTGAGGTGGCAGTGGGCGTAAAGAGCGGTCCATGGCGCAGCTAGTGGCAGAAACATCCATGGCCAGATCTTGCCGGATCTGAACTTTAATGGACTTTAGAGAAAGAGACATAAGAGATGGGCGTTACAGAGAGCGCACCTTACACTGTCATTCAAAAGTTTGGAATCAGTAAGATTTTTAATGTTTTTAAGGGAGTCTCTTATGCTCATCAAGGATGTATTTATTTGATCAAAAATACAGAACAGTAATATTGTGAAATAATATTGCAATTTCTAATATTGGTTTCCAATTTTAATATACTGTACTTTAAAATATCATTTATTTCTGTGATGCAGCACTGAATTTTCATCAGCCATTACTCCAGCCTTCAGTGTCACATGACCCCAAACTTTTGATTAGTAGTGTATATTGTAACAAAAAATTCTATTTTGAATAAACACTGTTCTTTTTACATTTATTTATCAAAGAATCCTGAAAAAAGTATCACAGGTCCCAAAAAATATTAAGCAGCACTGTTTCCAAAACTGATAATAAATCAGCATATTAGAATGATTTCAGGAGGATCATGGGACACTGCAGACTCGAAATTAAGCTTTGCTTTACAGGAATAAATTACATTTTAAATAGTGCTGTCAAATGATTAATAGCGATTAATCGCATCCAAAATAAAAGTTTGTTTACATAATAAATAAGTGTGTTCTGTGTATATTTATTATGTATATATAAATACAAACACATGCATGTATATATTTAAGAAAAATATGTTATGTTTATATATTCAATTCAATTTTCACTTTGTTGGAATTTCTTCCAAAAATTGTATTGCATTCCATAGCGTTTACTGTCGAACATTAATTCACATTAATACACATTACACAATACCATACACGCACACAAAAAAAGTTATTAAATATAAATATATATATAATATAAAATATAAATGTATATACATGTAAATATTTTCAAAATATATACTGAATGTGTGTGTATTTATATATACATAATAAGCGCAGTACACATACATATATGTAAACAAAAACCTTTATTTTGGATGCAATTAATCGTTTGACAGCACTAATTTTAAAAGTATATTAAAGCAGTACTATGTAACTTTTTACTGTGTTCAAAATTTGCTAAATGTATATAATGAGCTAGTACATCATGAATATAGTGCAAATAAATCCAGCCTTGATGTACATAAGAAAATTAAAATCTTACTGATCCCAAACTTTTGAACAGCACTGTATTGTATATCTCCATTTTGTACAGAAGAATTCACATAATCTGAGTTTTTTTGGAATATTCAAAAAAAACAAAAATCTGAAATGCGTTGTTCCATATGCAAGTTCATTACTGTAAATTCAACAGCATGTTATGAACTAGAAACCATGTCTTGAACTTAAAAACAATCCTAGAAAACTTGTACATTCCCTCTTCAGTCGGGCATAACAGAATCTCCAGAAATGAATACCTTCTGTTGATTACCACACTGTACATAGATCTGTCCACTCCAGGGCAGCATGGAGGATTTGGTTTAGATTTTGTTAAATGCTAAACATTTATATAAGCTATGTACTTTCAATTAAAATGAGAACAAAATGTGAAGTCATTGATTTTCCCGATGTTTGTTTATATGCGAGTCTCGTACTGAGGTTCAATGACTCCGTGCTGTGGGGTGATGGTAAGGCAGTGGGCTGGCCAGGACAGCTCAAAGCTCAGCTCTCTGTTCGAGCGGTTCAGTATCTGCACATGTCTGGTGTCAGCCACACTGTCTGCAAATGAACAAGCAGAAGACAACATTTAGAGGGGGAAGCATTCACTTGCTAAGTGCATTTTCTTTGAGTCAAACAACATTCATTAAACCACCTGAGGTCATTTTTAATATCACATTTTTAAACTCAAATGTGTCTTACTGATAGTGGGTGCAGTGAGAACCAGCTGTTCAGGCTTGATGCTCCAGGTGTTCTCTAGGTTCAGCTCTGTTTGTTTCAGCACAGGTTCTGATGGACTTAATGGAGGACCTTTGACTGGTAGCACATCCAGGGAAACATTACTGATGTAGCGGCCCGATGACCCCAAACCGCTGAGTAGAGAACTACACATTAACTTCATCAGCATGCTGAAATCTGAAAGCATTCATTTCTGTTCAGTATGTTGTTCATTGAGGATGTTTACCCGTCTGATTCAGAGGTGTGCCGTTGTGAAGGTCTGACGGACTCCATATGGTCACTCTCTCCAGAGTCTGACATTTCCATAGTGCCAAATAGCGACAGCATAACTTTGCTCATGTTGCCATAGAAAATCTGGGCTTCATTTGGCCTTTGAGGCAGATCATAGGCTGAAAACAAATAAAGCCACAATCAAGGTCAGTTAATTGATTAAACCAATTCATTTTGAGCAAATCCTTGCCATCTTACCCTCCTGAACCTGCTCCTCTCCAAGGAACATTTCATCAAATGGGATACTTTTTAATAAGCTGTTCTCAGACAGTACTTTATTCCCTGCTTCTGGTTTGATTTGTAGTAACCTTGAAAACAGATTAAAAAAAACAACAACAACAAAATTACAAAATGTGTTTTCACATCACTAAATGTGTAAAAATACACTAAACTGTCCTCTCACAGATTCAGTTTCACAGATTAGACATTTAGTAAGAATATCAGGGAGGTCATATCTCTAGCTGGTAAGTGGGAATAATATACTAGTAATTGTATTTCATTTCTAAAAAGGTCTACAGTGAACTATCCATGGCTACATGCAAAACTTTATTCAATTGAAAAGATAGAGGGCTCTTAGAAAAGTATACATTTTTATTTGGTTAGTTTTAAAATAAATGTTTAACTGCAAAAGTACATAAATTACTCAAACGAGTCATCTGCCTATTTTTGATTCAGACATCAAGTCACAGATCTTTCAATTTATTTTTTTCAAAAAAATTCTCAGACATTACATAAAATACTAAATAGAAAAGATTTTTGTTGAAAAACGTAAAAGGAAGAAATAAGCTCCTATTTTAACACTAACATGTTTTTAAAATATTCTTATTTAAGCTGAGAATTCAAGTCAAATGAGAACTGCCACTGACTTCCGGAACTGTTGTCGAGACACCTCGTCCCCACAGAAGAGGCAGACAGTGGCAAGAAGAGCTGCACCAGACTGACAGAGAGCCTGCTCTCTGCGTGAAGCCTTCATCGCTATTGTGATCACCTGCAGAAACAGCACTGATAAATCTTCCAAGCATATACAGGCATTAAAAAAAAAAAAAACATGCACTTGGCTCACCTCCTGTGTTCGCTCTTTCAGGACAAACTGTGAAGGGGACAAGCTAATAATGGTGGAGTCCATGACAGCTCGATTTTGAAGATTGCTGAAGGATACCGCTTTCACGAAAGCAGCACGTGAACCCGTGTTTCGCACACACACACAAAGCTTACTGACACGTCCTGCCTGCACTCCACTCAGCGTGGCCACATAGCCTTCAGAACGCTTCCTCAACTCCTCCAGGATCACGTTACTCGTGCCGCCATAGCCTGACAGAGGGATCTGAGAACAGCACGCTAAAATGTAACACCAAGTATTTACTAGAGGTCGACCGATGTATCGGCTTTGCCGATTAATCGGCACCGATAGTTGATTGCTGGAACGATCGGTTATCTGCAAAAATCCATGCCGATAGTTTTCCGGGTTGCATCCGTTGCTGGAGCGGCTGAGAAGGGTCACTGACAGCATGTGCTATTTGTTTAGACACGTGATACTGCACGCTGAACAGAGCGGGAAACTTCAGACGCGGATTTAAATGCAGCCGACAGAAAATCCTGCCGCGCCACAGAGCGCCATTCACATAGTTTTCCATTAAATTACATTATATTTGTCCCGAATCGTTGTTAATGTACATAATGAATTGTGTATTGTGCATTTTCAGCAAAACGTTTGTCTTTCTGTGGCTCTAATAAAGTCTGTATGCTTCATTTATTGAGCTATAATATAGATCACGCTTTCTCTTTCCGTTTGCTCCGTTTTTAAAACACCGAACTTCAAACTCATCTATGCCTCATTGTTCATTCTTGAAGTAAACTTGTGTCCGTTTGGTGATTAAATAAACTGTTTTAAGACCGCTGCTCGAGCTGAACGCGACACGTCCGGAGTGTGTGTGATACCGGGGAGTTCTCCTAGACTCAGCACTGCACTTTTATTTTGAATGAATTTTGATTAGATAATCATTAAGTGTTCAAGAATAGAAGCAGTTAAAGTGTGAGAGTATACATACAATATCCATATGTATATCATTTTAATGCTATGGCCTTTGTGTATATATTTAAAGATGTGCATCTTTAAGCATGACTGTTGAAATGAAATGGTAACACTTTAAAATAAGAGTCCATTTGTAACATTAAGATTCATGAAAGCTGTGTAAGTATTGTTCCTTGTTAGAGTGTGTTAATTGCAACATTTACTATTACTATTATTATTAATATTACTACTACTAGTATGGTTCAGTACTGTTTTTTTAATAAAGCACCGTTTTAGTTTTTGTTCAGTATCTATTTTAAAAACTATCGGTTAATTAATCAGTATCGGCCAGTGTGGTCCAACCTAGCTATCGGTATCGGCAAAATCCACAATCGGTCGACCTCTAGTATTTACAACATTATTACGGTTTATGAGGCATTATTAATAAACACACAGTGAACTTGACCCCAGGCTGGGAGGCACGTGCAGCAGACTGCTTGATCTCCAGTTTGGCCAGCATGGATGCAACACGGGTGGGAGCAAAGAGCAGATGAACAGTCACATCCTCTTTGGGTTTGATTGACAGCTCTCTGTTACGTGTCAGTCGCTCATCTGGGCCGAATGAGCTCTGCAGCTGCAGGGTTGAGATTCACAGAAACAGACAAGTGGGAGAAAGGATAAATGGATAGACAGATGTTAATATACTGCCACTGGCTCTACAAAACCAATGAACTGGTTGGGGCTGGCTGCTCGTAATTGCTGTACCTACAGCAATCTTGGGACAGAATGCATATTTATCCATTACCTAAGATTACTCGCATAGCAAAATACTACTATACTATAAAATAAAGTATTTCATAATTAGTAATCATGTTTTCAACACTTCATATTCTTTCATCATCATGTCCCCTTAGGAGCTCCATATATTATAGATCTCAGTGTCTAAAACTACATTTCTCAATGTGTTAGCTTACCTGGAAACAGTCTTGGTCTTGGCCCCTAATGAGCAGTCTGAGTTGCTGTGATGTAGTGGGTGAATTGTTCCTTAGCACCAGTTTCTGTTGCCTACAAACACAAAAGCATCATCTCCATCCAATTCACTTTTTATGAATAGCAGTTTCTATGGCTATGTAAACTCACACTGCTCTGCCCAGGGTAACCCCTCCCCATGCCATGAACTGTTTGTTGGAGAGGATGGGTGGGACCTCAGCCTGTGATAACACAGCAGGTAGAGATACTACTTTCCCAGAAACTCCTTGGACCGTCTCTCCTTTCAGCATCACCTCATACTGAGGTCCGCTGGGTAGAACCAAAATCGTCAACATGCTGAGAAAAGAAATCAAATGTTACCCGAAAGTACATTAGGGGCTTTCGCACCGGAGGAACCTTCCTAGAACTATTGGCGGAAGTACACACTTTTTGGCATTTTCGCACTGCAGGAAATAGGAACGTATTTAGTTCTAGGAACTCCGTTTGGGGGAACAAAATTAGCTCATACTTTAGAGTAGGGTTTAAAACAGTTCTATAGGAACTACCAGTGTCGCAAGTGTACGCTGATTGGCGAACATGGAAAACAGCGATAATGGCATTTAGCTACTTGTTGTCTGCAGCGCTGTGTTTTTTTTCTCAGCCTCGATGATATGTAAAACTTCAAGTTGTTATCGAAGATTTAGTCCGATTTTCACGTTCTTTCAATAGCGTAAATTGTGCGTTCAACATTCCATCTCCGTTATCACGAAGCTCTGATCACGTGTCTTCCATTCACTAATTAGACAAAGATAAAGACGTCACTGGCGGCTGTCTAGTTCCTAGAACTATGCGGTGCAAAAGCCCCTATTACGAAGTAGCAAGAATATTTTAAAAATACACTTCCCCCTCTAAAGAGTCAAACTAGATTTCTAACTAGATTTCAGACAATCTGAACTGTAGAGAAATTAATAAAAGTAATAAATAAAAACCTCAGATGCAAACAAAAAGGCATAAAAGTACAATCTGTTGAACATGCCTCTCCCTGAGTTTCTGTTTGTCCTGGGCAGTGAAGGAGACCACTACACCCTGCTCCTCTCCAGCTTTCAGAGTCAGTTCCTCTGGCCTCACAGTGAAACAGCTGTCTCCATCAGTACTCTGAAAAACAGCCAAAAAAAACAAGGAGTGAATTCACAGCAAAGGCTAAGCTACATAGATTAACACTGTGGTGTTGTTGCAAGGCACATTCAAGGCTATTTATAGTCAATGTATGAAACATACAATTGTGTTAAAAAGTAAAGCTCATGATCAGGTACCTTTACTCTGAGTAGAA